GACTTCTATCTGTGCCATCACTTGCCTTACGTCTGTCTCGTCCACTAGAGTGGAAGATCCCTGAAGTCTGGGAAGGGTCTGTTGTTTCTCATTGTTTTAGCCCTGAGGCCTACACAGTGTATGTATGGCACAAAAAGTGGGGGGTAGGGAGACTTAGGGAAATCATTGTGGAAGGAAGCAGGCTGGCCAGACAGACGAGATGGAAAAGCAGTGGAGATACAGGAGAAATTGCCTGGAAAGAATATCAAATAAAGCCTGGGCCAGTCCCAGTTTTGAGGGACTCTGACTGTTTCCTGTCCATCTAAACCTCAGTGTTTTTATCCGTAGGATGGAGTTACCCATGCAGCCCTACCTGTCACAGGGGCTAGAGGAACTGTAGTAAACAACTAATAAAATAAACAATTATAATAACACCAACAATTATAACGATAACGGCTGACACTCATGTATCACATGTAGGCAAACACTACATGTATTTAATCCTCACATCAGCCTTATGAAATAAATACTCTGATATTTGGAATCCACGTCATTAGCTGTATACAGAATTACAGTCATTTCTTCCTAGAAAAACGAAACTTGTGATTGTTGTGACATGCCCCTCTTTATCTCCGTGCTTCTTGCCGTAGAGTGGACTTTGATATTAAGATTGCACACCCGTTCTCTTGGTTCATGTTTTAAAGGCTCCATCCTTTTATCTTCCACCTTTCTGTATCCTTATGTTGCACACGTCTGTTGTAAGCCATATAAAACCAGGTTTTGTTTTTTGATCCAGTTTGCCCATCTTTGTGTTTTAACTGAGGCACTTGGTCTCTACATTTAATGTAATTAGAGACATATTGGACTTAAGTCTGCATTCTCATGTGTTTTTTTCTCTCTCACCTTCTTTAGGATAGGATGCATGTGTTTTGGTAAGACTCATTATCCTCTTCTACAGATGGGGAAACTGAGGCATAGACAAGTTAATTACCTTGTTCAAGGTCACAGTGATGAAGGATACATTAGGCCAGCTCTCTTCTCCCATTGAGCTTTATTCCAGCCAGGGAACTGGATACTGTACAACAATAAGGCAGATAAATATTTAATTGCAGCTATGATGAGTGCTATGTAAGAAATAAAAGTGAAAAAAGTAGCAGAGAAAGGCTTCCATTCCCCAGACTAGGTCTCCCACACCACCAATGTCCCCACCTCTGGCCCGACTGAGCCTTCCCATCACTTTCCACTCTCTCCTTCAAACACACAAAGGAGGAAAACATTTTTCTTGTCTCCACTCCAATGTGCTCAAAACATTTGGGGCTAGCCAAATCCCTTTTGGCCCCAATGTGCAGCCCCCACCCCTTCCAGGACCCTCTTAAATGTTTCCTGGCCTCTAACAGAGCCCTAGAGACCTGTTGAAAAGCTCGATTTCTCAGCCTGGGCCTCTTCTGCTGCAGCCTGCAGAGCCATGGTTCCGCTTTTCCTAGCAGCCCCACCAAACCTCCTTTCTCAGCACTGGTAGCTGCCTGGCTCATTGAGCTCCACAATTCTTAAAAAGTCAAGCCCATGCTTTGTGTTTTTCCACCATCTTGCCTTTGCTCCTGTGATTCCCTCAGCCCCATCCAGATATACATGCTTCCTTGCCCCTAAAATGAATCCTCAAACCCCACTCTTCAGGTTCCTCCAGCCTTGAGTCTCTCTTCTTTCTAGCCCAGTACTGTTCCACTCAGGGCTGGGAGTGTCTGTGTCAGACTCTTCCTTTGTCCTCCAGGGCCAGGTAGGGACTGAATACTCTCTGGATTCCCAGAATATGGGCCACATCCAAAGGGGATGGCTAGAACAATGTTTAAAACTGTTTGTTGAACTAAATATATGAATCCCAGTTCACATTCACTTTTCAGTGAATAAAGATAGCAAAGTGTCGGGGTAAAATAGTTTACCAAGGGCTTATAGTGAGCCCAGCCTTGTTATAAGGAACTCACCTGCATGATTTCATAAAGTTAAGGCACTTGCCCAAAGCCATACACCTGGGATGTGACAAAACTAGAATTAGAACTCAGATATGTCCAATTCTAGGGCTTCTAAAGGATCTTCCATATGGCCAAGGGCATGTGTGTGTATCTCCCAAGCTCTCAAAAACCTTAAGAAGCAGATGCTATGATCAGACTCACAGTTAACAAACTGAGACCCAGAAAAATTAGATATATAACATACATACATTGTAAGACCTCAATAACCAATGATAATGAATTGCTAACATTTATTAGGAAATTACTATATTTGTCCTGTTTTGTTCATGGTTTTCAGTATAGACAAGGGGACAGATGTAGAACTAAATATAGATGTATATTTGTATGGGCTAATAGGCATACACGTATTTCCTAATTCTGACAGCTGACAGGGTTTCTAAGCAATGCGCACACTCAGCATCCAGAGCTTGGTTTCTGAATATCACTCTCCAAGAAAAGGAACCAGGCTCCTTGGAGTAAAGGCTGATTCCAAGGATATTATAAAGCAAACATAGAAAATCTTGTGGTGCCAAAAGTTAAGGAAGTACTCAGAAGATGGAGACATATTAAAAGGACATAGGAGCTAACTTAAAGGGGCAGCAAAATAAATGATATAGAAATTATAACAATAAAATACTCATAAGTTCACAGTGCTATGTGAATAAATACATAATTAAAGAATAGACAGCTCGTTTACAATAGAATTCTAATTAATAATTAAATTAATAAATAGAAAATCACCATTACACAAACACCTTAGTAATAATTGTTGCCAGCCAGAGCCATGGATGAATGCATAAACTATTGGGTGAAAAATGTTTTTTAAAATGTGGAAAAAAAAAAAACCTAGGATACTTCCATGGTCTCTTAAGTAGCTCTCCGTAAGATACTTATTAGTTGCAAAGGTGAAAATAGTAACTTTAGATAGTTGAGAAACTGACAAGACACTGCCTTAAGCAATAGTCAACATCGCACACCTCCTGATATGATGCATTGAGAAGGGTACAACATAGCTTCTAAAGGATTCCTGCCCAAACTCCTTAACTTCAGTCTAATCCTGAGGAAACGTCGGATAAACCCATGTTGGTGGGTATTTTACAAAACCAGTAGTCTTCAAAAGTATTAAGGTCATTAAAGGTTAGGAAAGACTGAGGAACTGTCAGAGCGAAGACTATTGAAGATCTGACTAAATGCAACGTGGGTTCCTGGACCAGAAAAAAAAAGTCAGCAAAAGCAGAGCAAGGATTTTTGAACCGGGGTCTGATTCTCAGCCTGAAAATCAGGACACCTGGGTCTGGGTCGACCACAAGCCACTCGAGCATTGTATGACCTCGAGGGATTGCGTGCCGCTCTCAGACCTCGGTCTTACCAGCTATGAAATGGGATGTTTTACAGCCTTTTCCACCCCTTCCGGTCTTCATTGAAGCTCGGGATTTGGAAACTACGCAGACGCGAGAGAGACAGCCTGATTGGCTATTCTTTACAACGTACAAGGGAACAGAAGCTGCACATAAGCCCCACCCCTTCCTCCACGCACACAATTAGGCCCCGGACGCGTCGCTGCCACGCGCACTCGCACGTATGGTGCGTGGTGACGTCCCGGCGGCGCGGGCGCCATCCCGGAAGCGCGAGCAAGGCTGCCAGATGTGCAGGTGCTGCTGCCACCGACGCCGGGGCCGAGTTCGGGGTGGGGTTGGGACTGCTGGGGCTGCTGGGGAGCCGGACCGGGTCGAGCGTGATCCTTGGGCTGTCGGGGGGTGGGACGTGCTGCTGGCCACATCTGGGCACCCCTTCTGCGGACCGGTCTTAGGTTCCCCGTATGTTCAGTGGATCCGGCTCCCGGTTGCGGGAGTTGGGGCCGCCTGTGTTCACGCTGTGGCGTGTCACCCAGAACCGTGCGTTGCCCTGGTTAGGCCTTAGTTTCCCTGCTTTTCAGGGGCGCGGCGTGAGGGGATATGCGAGCCCCGCCCCCACTCCGGGGTTTTGCTAAGCTTGGGCCGCCTAATTAAATTATGTTAAATGATCTGGGTACAATCGCGGTGCCTCTCTGCCTCGCTGTTTGACCTTGGGCAACGGAGCCCATCTTCGTGAGCCTTAGTTGCCCTCAGAGATGATAGTGTCTGCCTCGTAGGGGTGATTGCTCATATTCTTGGAAGCACCAGGGAAGTCCTCGTCAAAACGCTGATTCCAGCGCCCCGCCCTAGGATTTCTTCACGCTTCCCTTGGAGAAACAGCCTGCTCCGAGATCATCGTCTTATCACTGTTGGTTTCAGTTCTCACATAGTACTGTGAGATTCTGATTCTTTGTTATTCTCGTTTTCTAGATGAGAAGACCAACTCAGGGAAGTGAGGTGACTCTCCCAAGCCCACACAACCTCCCTCTCTGCCTGTTTCACTAATAAATATATTTGGAGCAGGAACCAGAACCCTTGCTGGGTCATTTTCACCCTTATGTGGTCCAGACTAGCTGTTAGTCAGGAAAGGCTTCCTGACAGAGGTAGCTGGGGATGGAGGGGTGTGCCTTGAATCCCTCACATGTGGGAGAAGAGCACAGGAAAGGAAAGAGCCCAACTTTGATGCAGAACTGTTTCCTGCAGGCCCAAATCCTGCACCTGCCAGGCTTAGCTGTGGGCTTCTAGCTACATGACTCTGTCCTTTGAGCCCAAGTATCCTCTTTATACATGATCATGGTTTTTTAGAACTGTAGAGACTGTGACTGTCTGTACTTGGCACATAAACAGTGGTTATTGGGCGGGCAGGCAGAATCTCATCAGGTGTGGCACTTTACTTCCAGAAGCCATGTCGGGGCTGCAAACAGCTAAACCAGATTCAGGGCACAAATACTCTTGGCTTCCATGGTGGGTAAAAAAGTAGTTGCTAACATTTGTAAATGAGGTGATTTCACAGGAAAAAAAAATCCGTTTTTCTTTTTTTACATCTACAGAACTTGGTCTTCCTAGGTGGTCTCCCATCCAAGTACTAACCAGGTCTGACCCTGCTTAGCTTTTGAGATCAGACAGGATCGGGCTTGCATTTTTCTTTTTTCTTTCTGGATGAAAATGAGAAGTCAGGCAAGAAGCTGCTCTAAGCAGCAGCAGCTGTCCTATCATGGGTAGTTAGCGAACACCTGTATAGATTCACACCTTTGTGGTTCCTGTGGACCATGGGCATTTGAGTTATGACTCAGGTTCACTGACTGTGTGACAATGGCTCAGTGCCTCAGTCTCTTAGCTTCAGTTTTCTCACATGTAAATAAGGGTTACAGTTTCCATATATAAAGTTAGTACCTCGTTTAGCTTACAGTAGGTGTTCAATAAAGAGCAAGGTGGATTAAGTGGGCTTTGAAAGCCCTTCTTGATCGTGTGTTTGTGTATCTAAACCAATGGCAAGTGGGCTTTTCTTGGCCATTAAATGTGTGGGCCATAGAACCAAGGTATGCCGGGATTCTCGGTTTTTCCTGAAGTCCCCCACCAGTAGAGTCAGTACTGAAGCTGTGACTTTTCTTGCCCTGGCCTGATACAGGAAGCCCCCACCCACTAGGATCGTCATCTGTGTGCCAGGGACGCTAAGAGCCCCAGAGCCATCTAGGGGGTGCTGGAGCCTATAGCCTGCCTGGTTTTGAGTACCTGAAATTCTTGGCTTTAATTTACTGTTAAAAGTTAGTGGCAGAGCTGAGTTTGAACGATTCTGTTTGCCTCTGCCAAGTGAAATTCTGGCAATCCCTTGCTGTAAGCCATGTTCTGAGCTGTGCTCTGGAGACAGAGCAGCAAGCAAGACAGACATGCCTCTGCTCTCTTGGAGCCGATAGTGCTGTGGAGGTGCCAGGCAAACAGGTCAACTGAAAACTAAGATAATTTCAAACAGAGATGAGCCAGTGAAACAATTAAAACAAGGTGAAGTGACCAAGGACCTCCTGGGAGAGAAGACATGAGGTTGTGATAATCTGAAAGGGCAGCTATGCATGCTCCACCAGTGGGGACAGCAGGTACAAAGGCCTTAAAGTGGGAATGGGCAGATGCAGGGAGGCATGGGAGGAGTTGGGCAGATCTGGGCAGGTGGAAGGTGCCAGTGGCCTTGGGCTCATGGAGAGTAGATGCCAGAGAGTGGGAATGGGATTCTGATGTGCTTGAGTACAAGATGATCTCTTGTAGTTCTTGAAACACCCTCAAATTTCCAGGATGACAAAGCTGAGGCTCAGGTGGCATGACTAACTCACTTTCAAGCAGCCTGTGGGGTTCTTGGTTCCTCTTCTCTGTCCTATATTCCCCCAATGTCTGGTGCAGACTGAAGACTTTCTTCCTGCCTGTTTTAGGCAGCGGAGGAGGAAGAAGAGATGGACCCCCCGGACTCAGCCTCGAGGGTCTTCTGCAGCCGCATCCTGAGCATGGTGAATGTGGATGACATCAACGCCATCATCCTGGCCCAGAAGAACATGTGAGCAGTGGCCAAGCATCCTAGGCCCGGGCATGGGAAAAAAACACTTGCCAGCCAGCATTCTTGTCAGACCTGCCCCGACCCCAGCCTCACTGGCTCCAAAGTAAATTCCTTCCTGGCCTGGAGGTGAAGGCCTGGCACAGGAAGCAGGGCTTTGAGCTGGTTTCACAGCTGCAGATGGCTTTGGGGTAAGGGGCTGCAGCAGCTCCTGTCCCAAGGCCTGGGGTGGGGAAGAGTTGGGATAAGAAGAGGCTGCTGGGAGATATAAGGGAGCAGGTAGGCTGAATTCCTGTTGGAAACCTGGTCTCTGAGAGTCCAGGCTGTTTGTCTGCAAGCAACTGAGGTCTCTTGGAAGGGCCGTGAATGCCTTTTTGCCTTCCTTGGTGCTTGGCACCATAGCCATTGCAGCCCCGTTCTAATTCTGGCCTGACCTGTGAGGAAGAAGGGCTGACACAATCTTAGGGTAGAAGTGTAGTCTCCTAGGGCTTCATTTTTGTGTCTTTAAGCCAAAGGCTCTTCCTTCCATTTATGACACAGCACAGCACTTGCCCTGTGACAGATTGCTGGGTATGTCTGGGTTTCAGTAACACCCATCTTTCTTCTAGTTCCTTAGGTCACATTCAGACCTGACCCTGGGAAATTCCCAACATGAGGAGAGACAAAACCAGACACAAATTTTCCTAGCCCCATGGTGTCAGGGCTGTGCCAGAGAAACATCCTGAGGTTAGGGGAGTCAGGGAAGTAAAATCTGCTTGAGGGAGGGGGTAAAGGCTACACAAGAAGGGTTCACTTGAATGGAGTTTGCTAGGTGGCTCATTCACCAGGCAGAACTCTGTAGGAAAAGGGAACAGCACATGAAAAGGTCATGGATTAGGAAAGGGCTTAGCATGATCAGTTGGCAGGGTCCTATAGGCTGAGCAGAGGGGTTGGGGCCCTTTCTCTGCCACCAGGCTAGACCGCTTTGAGAAGACAAATGAGATGCTGGTGAACTTCAACAACCTGTCAAGCGTCCGCCTGCAGCAGATGAGCGAGCGCTTCCTGCACCATACAAAGACTCTGGTGGAGATGAAGCGGGACCTGGACAGCATCTTCCGCAGGATCAGGTGAGTGCTTGGCCCTGCTGGCCTCTGTCTTCCCCTCCAAGCCCTGGTTCCTCCCTTTTCAATGAGGGCCACCCAGGTGTTCCATGTAACATGCCAACAGAGAGAGATCCAGCTCACTTATTTTATGAGGCTTCATCATGTACTTAGCATCCAAAAACATCCGAACTCTAGGATAAAAATTAAGTTTCTGAATTTAAATTTTATTTATCTTTCAAAAAGTGCAACATAGCACCAAACATATGCAGAAAAGGCAGGCAAGAGTCGATAGTGAAAGG